TTATAACCTCTAGTAAAAACTAAAACGGTGTTCTAAAATAAAATGAGTGGTAACTCTTAAGCAAAATAATGAATTACCTATTTTAAAATGCTTATTAAATAAAGCTTATTAATAAGGTGTTCAAACAAACCACCTGCTTGAGCTTCACAATACCCTAATCTGTCGTAAAATTCTTGAAGAACATTTGACAAAATTTCAGGAGTAACTGATCCTAAAATATTTCTAATTTTAAGCCGTAATTCGTCCAAATTTGCGGCTCTTTCGTGTCGATGTTTGTAGAGAAGTTGCGTTACATGACCCCATAAAAAGAAGTAGCAGGGTGTCAGATCTGGAGATCGAAGAGGCCAAGGTATGATACCTTTTGTGGAAATAAACCTTTCAGGAAAAGTTTGTTCCAAATAATCTTGCGTTGTGTGCAGGACATCCCTCTTGCTGAAACCAAATTTCCTCAAAATTTACATCCAAATTTCGTACAGCTGGTACAACACTATTTTGTAATAAATGCAAATATCTTTCAGCATTTAAGTTACCATCAATAAAAAAGGGACCCACAATATTATCGCCTAAAATGCCAGCCCAACCATTTACCTTTTGAGGGTACTGCGTTCTTAATGGTATGGTTCTTTAGGTAAAGGCTTGTTTTCCCGGGCCAATATTGGACCACTGAAGGATTATGACGGCCAAGTAAGGAAAAAGATGATTCGTCTGTAAATAAAATCTGCCTAGCAAATTCATTATTTTCATCTATTTTTTCCCTAATGCATTCACAAAACTCCATACGTTTTATTTGATCACATGAATAATTTCTTGAGAAGTTTGCATTTTATAGGCTTTGTAACCTTTTTTAAGATGCGACGAACTGTACGACTTGAAATGTCAAATTCTTCGGAAATTTGGGAGGAAGAACACGGCTCACTTACTTCCACAAAAGCAAAGACATTAACTCCTTTTTCTCTCCTTGCTTTATGAATTTGACGAGGTTCCTGATTGCTACATTTCGTACACCGATTAACACATCCACACTCATCAAACTTATGAAAAACATTCAAAACAGTTCTAGCAGTGGGGACTGGTTCGTCGGGGTATGAAGATATAAATCGACCAACAACTTCGTCTGCACTTTCTGCACGACAATACCATTTAATAATATAATTTTTTTGTACACCATTTTTATTTTGTAATATTCCGTCTACTTCTTACCAAAGGTTTGAATGGAATAATAATAAAAATAAAACTAAACAAACAGCAATGCGCTTTAGGTATTCGGTCGGTTCACAAAAAATATAACGGGGCACGTGCGCTCCCACAGTCAACCAATTACGAGAGTCCGAGTCGCAGCCTCGATGATATATGTCATGTCCGACTCCTTCCACCTGAAGTTGATAGGGGAGATGCGTGTAATTTACTTAGTCTATCCAGACCAGTATAGTTTAGACTTTGTTTACCGTTGACATTTATGTACTATTAAATCTCTGTTGGAAAAATTGATTGTTTTAAGCAGGAACAATGCTGGGAATTTTTGAAAATTTATTTCCAAACCAAGTGCTGCGCTGGAGAAAATGTTTTGGAAACGTTAACCGACTATCGTGCAGCAGTGATTTGACGCGGTTGGAGTTATTTGCAAACAATCTACAATTTAGTGCAAAATTTTGAAAAAAAAACTGAAGATCTAGTTCTTCTAGTAACATCTAATTCTTAAAAAAATCACCACCCTGTATTTATATCTTTTATGTGCAGCCAACTACTGTAGTTTGATGGCTTACGCAGCGTATATGAGACTGCAACAGCGGCCAGCGGGTGGATTAAAATTTTTAAATAATTTTCGCATTATTGTCGTCGACCGGCTGAGTCACGGACGTCTGTTGCGGGGGCAATAGGCATTACTCCAGAAAACGATGACAAGGGTGCCATTAAAAACGGCGTTCGCCGGAAACTGTTCCAGATAGTAGTACGTAGTCTTCTGGCCCGCCGCATTCGAGAATGTAATGCCGTATATTTCCCGGGAAACGGTTGCATGTTTATACAGACGTCATTATCGGTAATGTCTCTATAATGTACCCCACGGATATTTACGGCCTGCCGTTTTCCCTGACATTTACGACAATAATAATTGTGCATTTACAGGCTCCGGAACGTGGGTCAAGGGACCGGCCGTGCCGATCAATTTGGTTGATGTAAAACGATGCCGTAATTGGAAACGGACAAATGTCCGACAAGCGGAGGAAACCCTACAGCGGCGTCTCCGACTAAGTACAAAACTCATTCTCATTACAATAAATCGACTATAACGTTTACAATTTTCCTAAAATGGTGTGTTGCAGGGTGTATACAAGCAAATAAGTATTATAACCTTTGGTCTCGAAGGTAACGTTGTAGTTTTTGTTTTTTTTTATATTTTATATTATATATTATATATTTTTGAGAGCGCTTATTCGGTATAACCAGAAGCGTTAGGTGGACGCCATTATTTTAATTAAGAAGGGCATGATCGAAAACACTACTGCCCACATTTTCAAAATTAATATCGAAGTAGTCTCTGAAATATGTCTCGTCACCGAGGGACACCCTGTATAATAATATATATTACATTGACCAATATACCAATAAGAAAATGGCTATAACCGCTACAGGAATCATAAAAAAACGTATGTAATGCATGTGACTATTTTAAATGAGAAAGTTGGTACTTACAATTTCGAGTATTTTGCTCAATCTTGTGCTCAGAACAGCCCAGACACCTTCATCAGCGAATGCCTCCTTGTACGACTGAAGATGTTCCTCTATTTGCAGATAATGATTCCTCACAGTTTTCTCCGTAGGGAGCTCCTCGTTCCACAAAATCAGAGCAGGTGTGGTCAAGTTAACAATCAATCTGTGAAACGAGAAATCAAATTAAAAAAGTAAAACTACTGACTACAATGGAATTACTGACTATATGATTGTATAAAACAACATATTTTTAATTAATAAACGATTTATTTCAACAAAATGTTGGAATAACTATGGGGATTGGAGCTATGTCCAATATATTATGAAAACTACTAGTTTGTATATTAATAATTTCAATAAAAATATCTCCGTTGGTTATTTTTTGCAATTTGGCCATATCTTTTTGATGATCTTCGTCTTTTTAAAGATTAAAAAAGAACCGATTAAATTCACTTGAGAAAGTGGAATGAATTACCTTTAAATGTTAGAACCAAAGAAAAATGAAGCTGTATTAGAAAGGGTGAATTCGAAAAATCGAAATTTTGCAAACATGCCCGGTCATATTATTCATTCCATTGAATGAGTAAAGAAAAATTTAGGAATAAAAAAAATTTGGAAAAGAAAGTAATACGGTAAAGAGAAAATCTGCATTTACTTTGGTAAACAGTGATAAACGCCTTTCAAATAATTGCGTAAATTTTGATAGTTGGATTTACGAAACGTTGAGTTTGACATGTACTGCAGTGATTGATTGCGTCATTTTCGCACAAGGGTTCATTTATTTGTTTAATTATTTTTCTTTTCGGTGTGGTAAAGCTACCTAATTAAATAAAATAGTGGCTATTATAAAATACTACAAAAAAATTACGCACAATATAACTTATTAAATAAAGAAGTCTTGAACAAAACATAGTTGAAACATTGATCAGTATATTTATTAGAATACAACAAAGAAAAAATTATTTGTTTCAGTTATTCTATAAGGCAATAATTTTAAAAATTGTTACTTTATTTTATTTTTGCTTGGTACTCTATCAACATTTGCCCAACATTGTGTAAAATTCGAATAAAAGCATATATCTAGCGAGGGGCGATCCACTGATGTAATCTTCGTACGTTTGCCCTGGAATCTTATGTAATCGTTTCTGAAATCTTTGCAATCTCCGTGTAATTCCGTGTTTTAATATTTATCTTTTTGAAATTTTGTAATCATCTAAGAATCTCTTTAAAATTGAAATCTATGAAATTTTATCTGTAATCTACGTAATTTTATCTGTAATCTATGTAATCTATCTGTAATATATGTAATCTTATCTGTAATCCTCGCTGTAATCTGTGTAATCAGTTAACCAATTTCGTCGATGTAGTTCTTATACAACGCCCCCCCTACCTCAATTTCCAAAGGATGCCACAAAAACCTAGACAGAAACCTATATAGTGTGATTCGTGTGTTCCGAAGGGCAATCCGCTAAGGAAAAAACATACGAAGATTACAAAATTTCTGAAATATCTTGTAATGTATCTAAGATTTCAATATCAATTTAAAAAAGATTATAAATTTCATATAAATAAACAATATTACAATATCTTTCAACAGATTACAAAACATTTCAGGAGATTTCAGTTATTTTAGTAGATTTCAATGATTATTTAAGATTTCAATAGGATTATTAGAAATTAAAAGATGATTTCAAAATTTCTTAATAAGGTTTCAAGGAATACGGGAAGATTACAATAAGTTTTGAATGTCCATTTGAAAAAAAATAATTAAATTAACTTCCATTGCCATTCATTTAATTCATTAACAATAGTACTTTGATTAAGAATTTCCAGTATCACTAATTTTTTGGGCAAAAATTGTAACATTCTGATTAAGCTTTTGTTTGAATGAACATCAAAAACTTTTTGTCATGACAAAAATGATAATGCTATTTTGAAAGTAGGTAAATATTTTCCCAAAAACTAAATAATAAAAAATATATTAAGCTTTTATTAATACTTGCATTTAATAGTTTACTTGTATACAGCGTGTTTAAAAAAGACGCGGCAATATTTAAGGGANCATTATTTTAATTAAGAAGGGCATGATCGAAAACACTACTGCCCACATTTTCAAAATTAATATCGAAGTAGTCTCTGAAATATGTCTCGTCACCGAGGGACACCCTGTATAATAATATATATTACATTGACCAATATACCAATAAGAAAATGGCTATAACCGCTACAGGAATCATAAAAAAACGTATGTAATGCATGTGACTATTTTAAATGAGAAAGTTGGTACTTACAATTTCGAGTATTTTGCTCAATCTTGTGCTCAGAACAGCCCAGACACCTTCATCAGCGAATGCCTCCTTGTACGACTGAAGATGTTCCTCTATTTGCAGATAATGATTCCTCACAGTTTTCTCCGTAGGGAGCTCCTCGTTCCACAAAATCAGAGCAGGTGTGGTCAAGTTAACAATCAATCTGTGAAACGAGAAATCAAATTAAAAAAGTAAAACTACTGACTACAATGGAATTACTGACTATATGATTGTATAAAACAACATATTTTTAATTAATAAACGATTTATTTCAACAAAATGTTGGAATAACTATGGGGATTGGAGCTATGTCCAATATATTATGAAAACTACTAGTTTGTATATTAATAATTTCAATAAAAATATCTTCGTTGGTTATTTTTTTACAACTTGGCTATATATTTTTTATGATTTTCGTCTTTTTAAAGATTAAAAATGAAACGATTAAATTCACTTTAGAAAGTGGAATGAATTACCTTTAAATGTTAGAACCAAAGAAGCTGTATTAGAAAGGGTGAATTCGAAAAATCGAAATTTTGCAAACATGCCCGGTCATATTATTCATTCCATTGAATGAGTAAAGAAAAATTTAGGAATAAAAAAAATTTGGAAAAGAAAGTAATACGGTAAAGAGAAAATCTGCATTTACTTTGGTAAACAGTGATAAACGCCTTTCAAATAATTGCGTAAATTTTGATAGTTGGATTTACGAAACGTTGAGTTTGACATGTACTGCAGTGATTGATTGCGTCATTTTCGCACAAGGGTTCATTTATTTGTTTATTTATTTTTCTTTTCAGTGTGGCAAAGCTACCTAATTAAATAAAATAGTGGCTATTATAAAATACTACAAAAAAATTATATAGAATGTAACTTATTAAATAAAGAAGTCTTGAACAAAACATAGTTGAAACATTGATCAGTATATTTATTAGAATACAACAAAGAAAAAATTATTTGTTTCAGTTATTCTATAAGGCAATAATTTTAAAAATTGTTACTTTATTTTATTTTTGCTTGGTACTCTATCAACATTTGCCCAACATTGTGTAAAATCCGAATAAAAGCATACACCTAGTATATTTGCAGTTTTACAAATATATATTAGAACAAAACGAGTCCATTTTCTGTTATTTGTAATCTGAAACATAGCAACCTTAAAAGCCCAATACTTGATTTCTAGTCTTACATTTAAACCACCCTGTATATTTTGGCCCGCAGCCACGAATGGCTTGGGAAACAGAACCGCTTTAAAACTCCCCCATTTCATCCCGCAAGGCAATCCGTATCTGTTTCATAATAAACTTTTTATTTATTTATCGGCGATACGGCCCCTTAAAAGGTCACTAAACAATGCGGCACATCGTTCGGCTGATGCTCCGAAATGATGTTTCAAATGGAGGAAATCGAGTTTACGATTGAAAGAAAATTGTTTCAATTTCAACAAAAGTTCCATCGACGTTATGTTTTATTTGAAAAGTCTCGTCGCAGTTGTGTAAGTCAGAGAAAAGTGTACCGAAGAAATCGTAAATGATGAACAGAGGGAATTTATCTTACCATAACGGACTCTCTTTTAAAGGGGTGGCAAATTTTTTCTGAAAGTGGGACGATGAATAAATGTATAACTTGAATATTTTACAAAATTGTTTTTACACTCGAATTACCTGCCTCAACTGCAAACTTATGCATCCATATTAACAGTTCCCTGTTTTACCGGTTGTATAAAACTACTTAAACAACAAAGTAGGTATATACCATTTGAGATTTATGTTTCAAAAATAAATCCTAACATTAATTTCAACTGACTGCTCAAGTTCCTGCTCTTATAAACTTATTTCAAGGAAAGGTCGCGTTTATGTGGCTAATAAAACAGTACATTACCTTAAGAGGACATCAAATAGGTCAGTTTCCTCCCAATAACTCTTGAGCAGCGGCAGTAAATCTGTTTGTAAAACTTTTGTCTCACCCAGCTGCCTGCGTACATCATGATTTTCGTCGTCTCGCCTCAAGAATCTTATCAAGTCCTTTACTGTCTCGAGAGTATTGGAATCTGCATAGTATTTGTTCGATTTATGGTCAAAATAACCGAGAGCATCGCATGTGGCTATAATTTCGGCTGATAGCAAGTCGCTCATTATTAAACAAAAAACAAATAAACCACGATAAACACAACTGAAGTTGTTTCGGTGAACAACAAAACAAACTATGCCTTGTAGGTAAATTGAAATGTCTCCAAATTTAGATACAACGAACTTGTAACTTTTATGGCACTATTATAGCGAGTAATTAAACGTTTAAACACTTCTAAATTATGCTCAATTAACATTTAACACATAAAACCGTCGGTGTTTCTTTCACGACATTATTTAGGTTAGAATAAGCGCGAAACAAACTGGTACCGGCACCTGAAGAATCACAATCAGATGATTAGCAACGATTTGACCTACCGGACGGGATGCCTACTCAACGTCAGCAGTCCTCAACATTTTTCCGACTAGTCACGTAAATAAATATTTTAAAAATCTTTACAAATGAAATTCTGAAATATTTACCTTGGCCTAAATTTAAGCATTTCCCTTCATATTGTGAGCAGTATATTTGACGTCATATCAGACTCCAACGGTTTAATACACATAATACCCATTCACCCATAGTTTTCGAACTATTTTGTGCTGTCAAGGCGGACTATTATTATAATAGTATCCAAAATCAATAACACAGTTTATTGTTAACGTAGGTTCTATACACGTTTCGCGTTGCATTTTAAACAAAAGGTCCCAGTCTGAATACCGCAAATTGGAAGTTGAGAGAGTAAGGGTTATCAACCGCAAAATGTAACACTTACCGACAAGCATTGTATCCCCGACAAGAACTGGCATTCCCAAGTCAGCCAATGAGATGAGAGCTCGAAATGAATAATTAATTTTAATGGATTAGTGATAGCGTCGTCGTTTATTATAGAACCGTTATTCGTGTCACAGACCTATCATCGAACAATTGTTAATGGAGTTGGAGTCAGCCGACTAAGATTTCTGCTTTTAACTGAGAGGCTTTGATATATGCCTGACTATGAAGTTAATAATTGTGTAGGCACAATAGCGAATCGGAAAAGTGACTGTCACAGATAAGTTGAAGTCTGAGATCTTCCCCCTACAAATAATATTTTCGTTTTCAAAAGACATGATTCAAAATGTTGCTCTTTGAACTCTGACATAAAATCTACGTCAGCTTTAGTCGGCCAAATCAAAATTATGATTATGGGGTACTTGTTATTTTTTCCTTGAAAACATGTAGGAAACAAATTATCTTATTGTTTGCAGTAATACCAAATTAATTTAAGTTTTTATCGTTTTGAAAAATTATCTATAAATGAGTTATGTACAAGACTATTCAGATTTCATAGAATTACATGGGAAATAGCCAATATGCTTTAATATAGATTATTTTCTCTATTTCTTAAGTATCAAAAACACAGTTTGCAATACTTTGCAGCTTTAGAACAAGAAAATGTCTTTTTCTTGCAGAGGTTTATTATAACTTTTGTAACATTTTTGAGGCCACTGAGTTGAGTTTAAGCTTAGCTGTAATTTTTATTTTGTAGGTAGGCGACTATAAAATAAACAAGGCACAAGAGAAACATGCGTGTATAAACTGTTGCCTAAGTTACGGAGATGTACGGAGCTAAATTTTAAATGATTTACATAGTTCTGTTCCTTTTCATTTTACGTAAGAAACTAAACCTGCCCCATCGGATATTTTAGGATTGGTCGTCTTGTATCCTGAGACACTCGCATTCGGGGAAAATTTCAATTGATTAACGATTATTTGACAGATCCGATACAAATCCATCAGGATGGAAATTAAAGTTCCCGCGTAGTTTCCGCTCGCAGTCAAATTAGCAATATCGCCAGGTAACGAGCCATCTTGCAAATAGCCAATATCCTAAACGATTTATCAAAAACGTGGTTACAAAGTTACTCTGCAAATTCCTTCCTCCTTAAAATTGAATCGTAAAAGTTTTATACAAGTAATTTTACTTTTACTGCCAAATTTATAGGGAGCTTTGGAATTCAATAAAAATTTTACTACCCCGTATTAATTTTTATACGTCTGCAGTTCATAAAGTATAATTCCTTTAGATTCTAATGGCCCTGAGAATGAAAATTGTTCTTATACGGCTTTTTCTTTACTGGTAAACTACCAATTGCTTTCGCTTTGTTTTAATTGACAACTATTACGGTTTTATTGACAAATTTTAGTACCTACTGCCTACATTTTTATTGGAACTGATCAAAAGCTACTACTATCGACTCCGAAGGTCCGACCTTAGGGTTACATGACAGGGCCAGGTCAAAAATTCATAGTTAAGTACTTATTTTGACAAAAAAATATATTTGCGCTAATAGGTACAAAGTTTAAAAAGTTAGGAGCAATAAAAAATTATTTCATTTTTTAATGACGTCACTTTTAAAGACAATTCAATTAAATTTGATACAGGAAAATTTTAAAGGAAGCTACATTTTTTACCTAAAACGAAGATGTCGCTAAGAATACCAGAAACAATTTTTATCTGCTCCCACTATAGTAAATAGACTATTATTAATACACTGTTTTTAAGGAGGTAAGTGGATTTTACCATAGAAGTGGAAGTTGCTATGGACAACGGGAGGTAAGCGAGGTAACTTACCTCCCTAGAAAAAAAAAGCGATTTCGAGTTATAAATGTATATTTTATGAACAAATAAATAGAAACAGTTAAGTATTACATTTAGTAACATTTATAAAATCTGGATAATTATTCCCCTCGCAATTACTAATTGTCGCATTTTTTTCAATTTACTACTAGAACCTGGTAAAGAATCCTGTTGGCTATTTCATTTTTGTTACTTAAATCGTCAGCAACATAACTTTCTGTAATTGTGGCTGTGACACCCACCATGTCCCTTGATTGCTAGTACATCAACTTCTGTATTAGCCAGTAACGTGGCCGATGTTCTTCGGAATGACTGGCCAGTATATGTTTCAGGATGTTCTAGTTTCAAAAACTGTGCAATCTTATTAGGAATCATAGAAAGGGTATTCTTGCCGACTGGTTGGTTGTAGCATCTAACTGCTTGATAGCGCATAAAATTTCAGTTTTAATTTCAAATCTAATCTAATATATCTTGGGAATTTCTAGGTGAGAAAAGAAAAACTCAAACGAGAAGCAATTGCAAACGTATGTATATAACTGCAATGTCATCGAAATTTTTGAAATTGACGTGGTCCAAAGTAAGTTTGCATAACTCATCAGAACGGCAAGCTCCTATTTTTCCTGTATTACATTCCTAGTCTGTCAGAAATCGTTTAAGTTATAAGGAAATAGTAGGTAATCGGTTAGAGAAGATGTAGCTAAATTTTTATACAGGGTGATATATTATATTAGTGTGGTAAAATCAAAAACTCTGTTAGTGTTGCCTTTTTAGAAATTTAAAAAAAATATATTTTCATAATTGCCGGAAATAACTAGAAGCTCGAACAATATTTTTAAAAATTATTTTGCCAGCAAATGTTTCTTTTCAATATTATTTTATTTGTATTGCCTACTCTATTCAGTAGTCTAAATGGTTATAAGAAAAAATAATGCTGGAAAATTGTCTATACATTGAAACCATTTTTGGATGCATTATAATTTTAATTATTCAGTTTTAAATGAAAAACTAACTATATTTAAATTATTCTGGACTATAATTGAGAATATGTAGAATCTTCTGTTGGCGTAAAATCATTTTTAGGTATTGCTGATTTCCATAATTCCTTTATACAGGCTGATTTGGAACTTGCGGTACATTTTTCGAATGCCCATTACACTTAACAGTGTAGTAGATACATTATGTGGCATTTCACTGTTTTAGTACAAATATTTAGTACAAAATCAATTGGAAAAGCCAAGCAGAAGCTTCTAAATAAGGTTATGTGATGGTGAGATACGAATTTCGTCTACGGTTGTGGTGTGTTCGCCAATTAAACAACTTCAATTGACGTCACAGAATTCCAGCTATGAGGCACGGCGTTGTTGTCAATTACGACAATCCACAGAAATTATAATAACTTTTTCCGTGTTTTAACTTCCTCAGAACAAAAATGTTCAATTGAACGTTACTCCCATAAACGAATGTTATATAGGTTTAAGAGACATGTAACATGGAATGTGATTGGAAAATCTAATATAAAAGACACCAATAACGCAAAATGTCATTTTCTCTGGTGCGTTTCCGATTTTTAATCTCCTATATCGATAGTGCCCGTCCCGCAGACGAAGCCTCATATCCAGATATCACTTATTGATTTGGAGAGAGAAGAGGGGCCAGAGGAAAGAGTTGAATGCCGGCGATGCCGTCGTAAAACGCATTTCCTCCCCTTTCTTGTTAGCAATTCAGGGAAAATGTTGTCACTTAGCTAGATGGATGTGGGCCCGATGCGTATCCGTTCATCAGGCCGTACAGGATCAGGAATACGGCCGTCTTTTTCGGAGTTGTCTTGTCCCCCGAAATGGGCCCAAAGTGCCTTAATTAGCTCCCACGGAACCGAATGAGATTATGCAGCTTCGACGATCTCTTCTTTGTTTTAGCGCGGAAAATTACCGGGTGCGTTTGAAACACTAGGTATACTTAGTTGGTAGTGTCCCAAGATTTCATTCGAAATTCAAAAAAATATTAAAAAATTAGAACTTATAACAAATGTTTCATAATCAATAAGCAACATTTTTGCGTATTAATGTCAAAATAAAAAAGTTTCACTGGAAAAGTTTCAATTTCGAGTCATAGTAGCAAAATTAAAAAAAAATAGATTTTCCACAATTATTTATTTCTCAAGATCTACAAACTAAAAATATTTTTAGTTAAAAGTCGTATTTAACTTTTGTGGGTAGTTTTTGGACAAATAGGCTGAAAATTTTAGTTTTCCGGTCAATGTTTTATCGATTAAAAATTTTCAAATTCTTTTGTATTGGGACGAGAAATAAAGTCATTTCCTTAATATTCTGAGTCAGCAACAAAATATCTTATATGATTATTCCCCAGCTCATTTTTTTACATGTTAGAAATCACTTAAACAGTTACGTTAGTTAACGCTGTATATGATGTTAGACTGCAAAGTCTCCAGACCTGAATCCATTAGATTAATAAATATTTTTGACCCCCAAATGTGTTTAGAAATGAATGAGGCCACCTGGGACATTTACTGTAAATTTGTTGCGAATAATATTATTAAATTGTACAGGGTGTCCCACTAAGGTCGACGATGTACGATATTACAGAAAGTATAGACCCTAGAGCTTCGAGAAAAAAATTTCCATAAATAAATCGACCA